CCCACACGCCCCGACAGACCCCACACCTCCCCACCAAGCAGATGGACCCCCCACACCCCATCTCTGACTCCCACACACCCCGACAAACAGACCCCCCACATACCCGCAACACCCCCATCACTGACAGACTCCCCACCCAACAGACCCCCCCCCCCAACACCCCGTATGCCATCCCGATGCGGACACCTGCCCCCCCCCCCAACAGAAACTTCCTCCCCTAACACTGACGGGGGGACACACATCCCACGAGCCCCACACAGTCAGCCAGGAAATCTGAACCCTTCTCCCCACCCCATGGCCGAGCAGCCAGAGCCCCCCACAGCTGCTGTGCAGTTTGCTCAGACACTGGGGTGATGCAGGACACCCTAGAAGAGAGCACGAGGCCTGGGCGGTGCAGCCCCCACTCCCAGGTCCCAGCCAGACTTCGCCCCACGGCCCCCTCGCCAGGGCGGGTTTGGTGACACTTTTCCTAAGGCTCCCAGCCCCAGGGGACCCACAGCACCTACATGGCCTGTGCTACAAGGGACTGCCCCGGGCTCCCTCCCCACCACGGCTGGCCAGGGCACGGGACCGAGCTGGGATCCGAGCAGGAGCAGGGAGGCGATGTTACTGCTGGGACCCGGCCCACCGGCCTGGGGACGAGGACGGGTCGTGGGTTACAGACCCTGCCTGGGAGCGACGGAGCCCAGGAGCTGAGCAAGGGGCGACGGCATCAGTCTGGAAGTGCCTGCGTGGGGCGCACGTTTAAGGGGCTCGCCCGGCTAGCGAGGGAAGGGCCAATGTGACCTGAGGCTGGGAGCTGGAGCCAGGCATAGGGTTACCATACATCCGGATTTTCCCGGACATGTCCGTCTTTTTGGGCCTCAAATCCCCGTCCAGGGGGAAATCCCAAAAAGCCGAACATGTCCGGGAAAATAGGGAAGGGCCGGCACCGCTGGGTGCTGGCCCGGGGGCTGGCCCGGAGGTGCAGGGCCGGGGGCTGGGCCAGGCCCGGGGGTGCAGGGCCGGGGGTGCAGGGCCGGGAGTGCGGGGCCGGGGGTGCTGGGGCCAGGCCAGGGGTGCTCGGTCGGGCGCTGGCCCGGGGCCGGTACCCCAGGAGCCGAGCCAGGCTGGAGACGCTGGGGCCGGGGCTGGCTGCCGGAGGGAGCCGCTCGGTCGGGGGGGCCGGGCTGGGCCGCGCCTCCTCCCCCCACCCCCCTCAGCTTACCTGCTGCCTGCTTCAGGCTTCCCGCAAATCAAATGTTCGCGGGAAGCAGGGGAGGGGGCGGAGACTTTGGGGAAGGGGTGGAGTTGGAGCGGGGGCATGGGCGGGGCCGGGGCCCCGTGGAGTATCCTCTTTTTGGACACTCAAAATATGGTAACCCTAGCCAGGCAGAGCCAGCTGGGACAACGGCTGCGTCTCTACCCACGAGGGACGGGTGCCCGTCGCCGCACAATCCCCAGCCATCCAAGGTGGGACGTTTCTCTACAGCCCGGGACAGGCAGGAGGCCAGCCGGGAAAGTTGCCATTGGCCCCGGGACCGGCAATCTGGCAATCGCCTCCTGCGCCCCCGACCCCGACTCTGCTCGGCCTTTCCCCCGCCTGTGCCCCCCGCCCCGACTCCGCCTGGCCTTTCCCCCCGCCTGCCACCCTAACCCGACTCCGCTCCGCCTCCGCTCCGCCTCTCCCCCGCTCCGACTCCGCCCGGCCTTTCCCCCGCCTGCGCCGCCCTGACACTGCCCGGCCTTGCCCCACCTGTTGCCCCACGGCACCGTTGCTCGCTGTGCACCCGGGGGCCGCTGGCGCTCCCACCCCCTCTGGAGAACCACACTGCCCAGCCCCCCGCTCCCACCCACGCAGCAACAGCGTCCCTGGTGCCCTGCACTGACCGCTCACAGGCGAGCCAGGCCCTTCGGTCACCGGGGGACCCGGAGACCCCTAGGACCCAGCCCCAGGGAAGCCTGGCTCTGCCGCCCTCCGAACAGCCACCTCAGCTGCACCCACACCACACGCAAGCTAAGCAGGGTCGGCTCAGATCCCTCCTCGGATGGGAGACTGCTAAGGAATACTTAGGGGGTGCAGGGCACCCTCCCCCCAGCAGCGCCGGCCCGACGCGGGGGTCACCGCGCCGCCCTTCCCCCTGGCGGCGCCGGCCCGACGCGGGGGTCACCGCGCTGCTAGCGGTCCCATCTTTAGGACGACACGTGACACTCCTGGTTCCTATCCCCTTCCCCTGCCAGTAGAACGCCGGGCAGGG